TTTTTTTTTTTTTTTTTGATATTTTGAAAACTTGTTCTATATGAACAAACATAGTGGCAATGTTCAGGTCATATCAGGTCACTCTGACCAGATCTCGATTATTGACCAAAGGATTCACGTGACATTAATTTGATTTGTTCGCAAACGCTTGATTTTGTCACGCAGTGATTACGTAATTTTTCACTTTACCAATCACGTATTTGGCGTAGGATAAAAACTTCATCATCATTCCAAGTTTGAATGGCATTCTAATTAATATAAAGCCATATTTTGTTTACACCTTTTTTTTGGAAAGAAATTCTCGAAAAGTTCTATTTGAGATTTCGTTTAAGAGAGTTCTTAAGTTCACGATTATTTTTGGTTTGTGTCTTTGCTAGTCCAAATTTTTGAATTGAATTTTTACACTCTTGGATAAACAAGTCCACGAAAATATGGATTCGTAGGGACAGGATTAATTGCAATTAATTTGCATTGCATTACCCCTATATATATATATATATATATATATATATATGATTTAAATTCGATCTGCCCGTCCTTTGGCATAGGTTGCAACTTTCATAGGAACGACTATTGACTAATTATGTCAGCAATCGGTAGTTAAGAGTTGAGTTTGTAAGTGAGTGATAAGCAATCTAACGGCAATTCGCAAGCTACATAAGGAAATTTTTTACCAACAATTACCAGGAAATGAAAGCAAACTTGATAAAGGAAATTCTTTAAAAATTTCTTTTGTATACCTATGAGAGAGTAATGAATGGATCGCGGCCTCTAAGAATATTAATTCCTTATTTCTCACGCTACTCGCTATGATATGCGGGCTCTCCAGTCATACCATTATATAGAAGATAATGCAAAATTATTGGGACAAATTCGTTCTCTTATTATACCCTATAACACTTCTGGTACAGGGTTAGTGCGGACGTATGAAATACGCAGAAGGGCTTAAGATAGATCCACCTTTTATTATTATATTATCGAATCCAAATTCTAACCCTGTCGGTCCGTCTGTCCATACAAAAATTATATTGTCGCTAGAAGTTGTAATTTTTGAGATATATTTTGATGAAATTTGGTATAGTGATATATTTTGACCCAAGGACGAACGCTATGGAAAATGGTTCGAATCGGTCCATTTTTGCGATCACTCCCCATATGACGTCCCTATTGTGAAAATTGTAATTTTTAAAATTTTTCGCGCAAAAGTGGCCAAGTAATAGTATTTCGTCCTTCTAAATTGGTATGAAAATTTTACATCGGCTGGGGCAAGCCCCCTTTCGTATAACGAAACCTAAAGTTCATAGGACAAAAAAACCGTATATTACTCTTCATGCTTCATAGTCTTTAACATAAAAAAATTAACTGTACCAAATTTGGACCATAGCGGCATATCCTAATAAGGCTTTTCACGAAAATCGTACCTTTATAGAACACAAAAGTTCAAGGTCTAATATGTGATGATGAAAATTGACTCATAATAATAATTTCATGTAAAATCGAACGAATAACTGCACTACGCGAAGTGGTGTAAGCTATTTAAAAGTCGGCGCTACCCGACTATAATGTTCTAAGCTCGTTATTAAATTGAATTTGATCTAAAATGATATTTTTTTATTATTTATTAAATGTTTCGATTAAGTTTAAAATGAAAAAATGTTTGTTCTTTTTATTTCTTCTTCTTCTTCTTCTTCTTTTTCAGTGTCACCTGAATCGATCGTGATACCCATCATATCGTGTATCTTTGGTTTCCCAATATTGGCCTTAATTGTTATCTGCTGCTTAAGACATCGGGCAAAAATGGCAAGAGAACGTGATCGCCGTCGTAATTATGAGGATCACGCTGTCAGCCTGGTCAGATTTAGCCCTATACATAGGCTTAGTGAGTCTTGCGAAATTTATTGCAAATTTCTTTACTTTATTTATTTCATTTTCAATTCGCATATCTTATCACATTTTTCACATTTTATTATTATCCTAACGCGTAGGGACGGGGCATAAGTTATATGCATTTTTTATAAGAGAGGCTGGCGAAATGTTCGGCTTAGTTAGATCGATAAACCAGCGATAATTTGCTGGCATTTGAAGAAGTCTTAATGCACTTCATCTTTCTGACCGCACCAAATACAGAGCATAACCTTCACGTCACTTTTACGTTCGATATTGACAACTAGCCAAGTATCACATATGATTTTTTACAATTTAACTTATTATAGGGTAATAACTTTTCATTATAATCTGAGGGTAGGCACGCGTCCTGACATACAGATGTAGAAGGATTGCTATGCTAGAAAGTGCCGACCGCACAAATTCGAAGCGAGAAATTTGAAGACGATGCGCCATAGCCATCAACAGTGAATGCCTCTCGTTACTTTATAAATATGGGAAAAATTGGTATACAGTGCTTGCACTTGGAACCCCTCAATTTACTTTATGAGGCGTTTCAGAACAGATAGCGAGCGGCAGATTGTTGAACTTTTTTTTCTTCTGTTTCAGCAAGATGCTGATATTTAGAAAGAAATCAGAGAAGGGAATCAGATAGAAAGATGATTGGAGTCCGGTTGGTAAAAATTACGCGTTCGCCGACTGAGCACTCACTATAGGTACGGCCAAAGTGAAATCTATCACATTTGAGGTAGGCAACCACGAAAGGTGGAACTGCCGGATTTTTTGGTACAAAAGCTGGACAACGTTTAGCAGGGAGTACTCAGGGAGTACTCAGGCATTCGAGGAATGCAGTTGTCTTATGTTCGCTCAATTATGAATGATGAATTTTATGATATAATATTATTGTCGATCTAACATGAGTAAAAAATAATTATTTTATTTATTTTAAATTTACTTTATAAATACGAAAATATTAAATAAATTATTTTTTGTATAATTTTTAAAGATGTTTGAGCAAAGCTTTTTTTTTTTGTTTTTCCTTTTTTAAACTTTAGATCAACGATCATCACGGGCTGTCAGTTTACGGCCGGAACGCAGTTTAAGTCAAGGTTTCACTTCTTTAGATTTGGATACTGTCGTTGAGGAACGCAGCGATATTGAACAAACTCAAACGGAGACACTCAATCCGGAATCGCCACTTGAGACGACATCGTACAGAATATCTTTCTCGGGTAGCTAGCAAGCGGAGAACGCGACAAGTCCGCAATCTCCAATGATAATACAAACGGGTTATACGCCTATTATAGCGACCGTATCTTCGGTAACTACCACCGATCATGAAACGATTCCCCCAAAAGAATCAAGCAACTTGACCCCGTTAAAGTTTAGCGTAAATCGGAAAAAATTAAAAGCCCCTTCATTCGACAAACACACTGTAAGTCAAAAACGTTCGATGCGCAAATCGAAATCTTTAGAAGCTGATCATAAATATTCGGTAACCAGTATTCAATCCCCATTATGGGTGACTTTAACAAACGCCCGGACAATCGAAGAACTGACAAATGAAGAAATTTAAAAGAAATTCTATTTCTATTTTAACAATTTGTGTAGAATTTATGGGATAGAAAGAAAGAAAAACGAAATCACACAAACATACATATAAGGCCCAAAAAAACAAAAAAAAAATAAATAAAAATTTAATAAATAAACAAAGCAAACAAACAAAATTGTAGTCAAAATATTTATGTATTAAAAAGCAGTTGAGTTACCTATTATTGAAATTTTTATGGAAATGATCAAAAAAATAACAAATGAAATCATTTTAACAAACACATATATAAAAGTAAATAAAAAATAAAAAATACAATTAATTGAAATAACTGATAATTAATAACTAATGAAAGACATTCCTTCTATTCTTTTCAATTTAAATTCTCTCTTATATAATTATATGGAGATTTTCACCACGAAACTGCTTACCAGTGCCCGAATGAGTTAACTAACTCTTATTGATGACATCCGCCCGATATCCGATTGTAAAAATTGTCAAGGTGTGAGAGTGAGAATAAAGGTGTCAAATATCAATTACCGAAGGATGAGGAGTATATTCACTTTGTCAAAACGTTTGCAACGCCTAGAAGGAGAAAAATCCCCTCAAAGAAGAAGAAGAGACCACTAAAAGTACATATATATATATATATATATATGTAGAGAAAGATTCTTGATCAGCATCAAATTCAAAATCGATTCAAACATATCCGTCTGTCCATGTGTCCGTCTATCCATCGGTGCATTGTCTGTTGTAAACATTCTCTTGACCGTAAAAATGGATCTTCCGACTTCAAATTTGGCAGAAACATTGGAAATTTTTGCAGGGAGATTCGTGCTGAAATTGGGCCAAATCGGTTGAAGAACACGCTTACAGCACTACATAAAATGAGAAGTCTTCTACTGTTACTGCTTACTAAACAAACTCGAACGTGTATTTTATGGACGATGTTCGAGTACCTGTACGAAAATGGAAAAATTTATCCACGCCTAACAAATGTTATAGTGCATCAGATTTATAACTTTTACTTTTTCATTACCCTAATAAGGCGGAGAAATGAGCTTCAACAGCCCCATAAAGTACATAAATTCTTGGCCAATTTTTCATGCACCCAAACATGTCCGTCTGGTCGTGTAGCATCTATCTATGGTAAACATACTCGCATTAGCGAAAATGAAGATATCGCTTAAAAATTTTCGAACGACTTTGTAAATGACTTAAACATTTCCGAGGACATTCGAAGACATCCGACAAAAAGTTGTAGTTTGAAAATAGAAAAAATCAATCCCGTCTACTCCCTATTATCGAGCATGAAAATTTCGTTTTTTTACATCTTCATCAATTTTTTTTTTTTGGAATAACGATGATGAAAGGTATGAAAGATTCGGTCACGACCGAATATCATTTTCTCATTGGTTTTTATTGGTTTTTATATTAGCCTTTCATCTGGCGTTAATAAATATTTTTATCATATTTTATATCAATATTTGCTTATGACAATTTTTCACGTATTTTTGCTTAAGTCAATCGATATGATGCGTTTAGCATTTCGATTTTGACAGCGTTATGTTCAAGGATTCAATAATATATGTATGTAAATGTTTTCAGTAAAAAAAAATAAAACTTTGATAGGAAAAAATTTATGACAATAAATAAAAAGCAATGTTGACATTTTCGGTTTATAGACACAGAAAAAGCCCCTACAGGCATATTAATAACGCTTCAATCGTTTACACCAAACAAGAATATATTATATTATGGAGTCTCTTGTCCCTGGAATTCAGCATACGGTACAGTAATAAAAAACTCCAAAGGATGGAAATGCGCCCGAATGCGAGAACTGATGGGATCAGGGTGATTGTGCAAGATAACAACGAACATAATAAATAAACGTCTATCAGTCGAACTGTCCTATGCGGCTACATGCGGCTTCCTTCCCCATCTTCCCCACGTCACCAGCCACAAAATGATAATGGAACAATCGGTCGTATGCCGCTCACCGCTCGCCGCTGCACCTAATTTTCATCGACTTTCAGAAAACGGTCGACATAATCGACCATTCTGTAATCGGGAATGCACTTCGCTGCATCGCACGCATCCCAGAAGGACTATAAGACAAAACCGAATGTCAGGCGATAAATGTCAGGACTGTCCACTCGCCCGGCCATTTAACATGGCCATCGACAACATCATGACAAAAGTCACATTAATACCTACTTAGACTTAGACTACGCAGACAATATATGCTGACTGTCTCAGATATTCGACGATATGTATCCGAATTGAAACTAAAAGGTATAGAATGTTGCAGACCGTAATTTATGGTCTCAAGATGAACATGCCTAAAACGAAGGCTATATTTTGAAGACGTCCAATCTTCCTGCTACTGGGGAAACATAAGAACAAGAACAGAAAACTCGAAAGACAGCGTCACGAACCGTATGACGAAGGCTGGACGAGCCTGTAGCCAACCTAAGTCTATATGGAAATCCCATCATATCTCCAAAAGCATCTAAATTAATATCTTCAATGGTCATGGGAAGCAGCCCGTTTTACTTTTCTTGGATTCTGCTCAATTCTCTTTCGGTCAGAATAATTGGAAGATTGGTCAGTTAACTTATACCTCAATCCACCAATGCAGGCCCTGTCTGTACCATGAAATTTTCGTTAGTAGCCGCTATAGCTGAATCACGTCCCACGTTCAAAAGTGTTTTTCTTCTCTTGTACTTGTAAGAAGCGATAAGCAATGGTTCGAATTATAGCCGAACTAAGATCCACTCCGCAAAGCCTACTCTTTCTGTTATGCCCATCACGAATGACGAGAAATGATTATGGATGTACCACCTAACCTAAGAGCAATCGGCCTGCTCTGTCCATTTTATCTATCAGATATAATTACCTGGAAATAGTTAATAATTGCATCAAGCAGCTAGTCTAGGCTGCAGCCCATTAGCGCCGTCTGGCCTATCAGGAATAAAGACTTATGATATTTGACAATGTAACTAACCCAAGCACCAGTTCGTCAGACTATTGTCTCTGTTCGATTTATTAAGAACAATAAAGAACCTAACCTAAGCTCCGTGCAATCAGTCTGTTCCTACATTTTCGGGAATGAGCAGAAATGGTGGCAGATATAGCAAATCCAAGTTTTAGTCCGTCAACGTTGTCCGTTCAGCACGGACGTGTAATACCGTATAATATATTTTGTACTTACCACTCTGGCTGTTGTCACGCATATAAGTCCTTTGAACTTCTAATTTTTTCATCTTTTTTTTTTTTTGTTTTGCCTACGGCCAAGTGCTCAATTAATAATTTCAAATAATGTAATGTCGAGGCATAGGAGTTGGTGTAAGAAATCCAATGACGACGATATAGTTTGTGATATGTTTAAAGCGCTATTCCGGTTTTATTCTTTATATTTCATTTCTCTTTACCTATTCTTGCCGTTTCGGCTAAACATGTATTAATTAAACAGAGTAATAGTAGAAGGGTGTGTGTGTTCGTAAACTCTTTGTTCGTGCTTGGTTGCATATCGTTTATCTTTAACACAACACAGGTTGTGTTCACATGCACGCCCATATTTGTTGTTAGCGTTGCGTGTCCATTGCATCGCCTAGCAACAGTGGTAGATGTGCTTACAAATTCATTGTTAACAAGCGGTACATGTAATCGCTCCTTGTTTAAGCAGGTGCATAGCGGTTAACGGACACAATCTTAATATATTTGGTAGGGGTTGTGTTCTGGTATGTGTAAACACAAAAAAAAAAAAAAAAAAAAAAAAAAAAAAACACCACTTTAGTTATCCAAAAAACACATATAGAATATTTTGAATAGCATATGGTACGGCATATATAACTTCAATGCATATTATTAAACATGTATGTTATGTTTGCATAAACTAAATGTAACGGAAAAGGAAAGTAAGTAAGCCATTCGTGACATTTATTACTATATATATTTTTGGTAATGAACTTGTTGTTGTTTCTACATATTATGTTTATATTAAGAACACGACATCGCAACGAAAATTCGAAATAATGGGCGTAACGGCATTAAGCAATGGTAGAAGCAACATTAAGCGTATAACGGCAGATAGTAGCTATAAACACTTTGTATGCACCTAACCTAAAAAGCAACTTTGTAGACTGAATATATTCGCAAGAGTTATATGGAACGGATGGCCTTACCTATTCTGTTGCTGTCCATCACCAGTTAGCATACGACTGAATTACGTGCTGAAACAATGTTCACGTTTTTCGGGATAGGAATCCTTTGCTAGAATGACGGGGAGAGGAGCTTCTCTCATAGCTATGCCAAGAGCCAAGTGATAATGAAAACGAGTAATAAGTTAGTAAGTATTCTGTGTTTCGAATCGACCTTTTACTGCTCTTGTAATGCATAACCAAGTCTTGTCTTCTAACTTTAATTACGACTTCATTTTTAAAACTCAACAACGAGCAACAGTCGTACTTCGTAACATATCTTAACGATAACTTCATTGCTTTCAAGCTATCCCCTATTCAGATTTCATCATCAATAACGAAAACAGTACAATGCAATAATGGTTTCATTTTCCATCTCTAAAGCACCTTTAATCACATGTATAGAACATTTTTCACTGTCTTCTACGAGCTTTGACATATTGAATGATAAAAAAAAAAAAAAAACAACTACTTTGGTTACTATTCATATAGTGTACGAATAGAGAGTGTGCTGCATACTCTTGAGCAGGAGTGGACAAGTTTTTTTCATCAACGGGTCAATTTCAATTTTCATATCACCGGAACAAGGTCCAACTACTGCGGCATACCGTATCAATTTTCTCTCTTTTTAAATCACTCATTTTATGACTTAGTGAACAAAGACGCACAGCTGAGCTGGCAGTGAAGGCAGGTATAATCCATTTGCACCATTGCCAAGTGCGAACAAATTGAATTATTTGAAATTTTATATGTAGCGAAGCGGATTTGAGCGCATCGCAGTTCGATGGTTCCCCATGACTGTCATAGAGGTAATGCTATTGAACCGAATACCCGCAGTACGATCCCATACTAAATCATAATAAATAAATCAAATCTGACCTAACATATACATATATAGTGTGTTGGAAAATGTCTCGATAGTCATATCAGACATCATTATGGCTTAAAAAAATTTACACCTTTGCCTATACTTACGTATATTAAGAACATGTAAAAACGCCATAGTCGGTTACGGTCGACAGTTAAATACCCTACACAATTTCACAGTTATTCATAACAAAGACTTTTCAAAAAAAGTCGTTATAAGGGTAGTGAACGTAAAAATGTGTTCCGATTCGAACCATTTTCGTCGTTGAGTTGCAAATTGCTTCTAAAAACACAAGAATACGAGATGAACGGACGGACGGACGGACAGATAAGCTTAAATCGATTCAAAAAATCGATGAAATAGGATATGAACCTGTCACAAGTCCTTCGCGGGTTTTGCATAAACTGGGTTTTGGAAAAACTTTTATTGCAAGTGCTGTAGGGTATAACAAGACAAGTTCAATTCGCATTAAATTTTAAATCAATAGTTCAGTATGACTACAGCTTATGAGTTATTGATAAAAACTTTCATTCATTTCTTCAAGATTTTTTTTTTTGATCTTTCTAACTCTCCATTTCCATTTCCGCGACCCACCATTAAATATCCTATACACACCACTTTGCTTAATACAATTACTCATATAACGGCTTCGAAAAATAAGGCTTTATATGGTAAGCGGTCTAAAGCTATTGAAAATGGCCTTGAACCAAAACACATCGGTATACCGAATTTTGTCAAAATAACTCAAAAATTTCGATCTGCAAGTTGAGAGACAAAAAAACAAAACAGATAAGCCCAAATCGAATAAAAAAGCGATCCTGAATCGGCAGACATAATAAAAGTTGGTTGGTTCTCTCTCAAATCCGTACAAATTTAATGCATCCGTGTTCCACAACTCGTGTACGGTATACGGTATATGGTATAATAATAAATCAACAATTACGAAATATAAGAATACATGGACACAGACAGACAGGCGGACTTAAATCGAGATAGTTATAATAAAAGATGGATTTATCTTCAGTCATCCATGGTGTTGCATACATCCGCATCAACTTAATATACCAGTGTCATAAGCGGTGGATACGGTATATCCATCCGCAAGGTAATACGGATGCCAAATAAGTGATAAGCTAACGGATCTTCTTTATTATTGTAACGGATATACGATTTCCAATTTTTGCAATCATAAGAGATGTCATTTAAGAATAATTTCTGTTTCAATTATGACTCAACGATTTAGCGACATTAAGTCATCGGCATTCAATTCTAGCTATATCCTATGGTGTGGAAAAGTGATTGTTAATAACTAATTGCACTATGCTTTAGTTCAACAGCAACAACAACAATAACAAAAGATTTTAGACTTAGCAGCTTAAAAACTATAGCATCTGGTTTTATTTTATAGATTTTAATTTATTTTAGAAGAATTTAAAAATATTTTTAAACTCAATTACATTACATTACTAAATAAATCGGGGTTGAATAAAACTTATTTCTGGAATTGTTTAGATCTTTGTTAGATTTAACATTTTTAACATTAAAATTAATAATGTTTTGATTGTTTGTTGTTCATTAAGGGCAGGGTTTTTAGAGATTAATTTGCTTAATTTTTTTTAATTATTATTATAATTTTCATTTTTTTTTTTTTTGCTTATCTATTTATATATATTTTTTTTGTTTTGCTTTTTTTTATTTTATTTTATTTTATTTATATATGTATCTATACATATATATATATATATATATATATATTTTTTTTTTATAGAAAAATACAAAATTAATATTTAGTAAAATTTTATTTACATCCGTTAAATATTAATTGATGGATAGTATGTACAAGTTAGCAAGAAAGGAAAAAAAGTTTTATTTTCTTTTTTTTTTTTTAATTATAATCATTCTGAATTTTATTAATAATTTTGTTGATTAATTTGCAATAATAATAATTTCTTGCTAATTTAAAAAGAAAGATCTTTTTAATTAAGAGAAGTGTAGGTATTGTTGCAAACATTTATATATTTTTGTACTAGATTTCTAATGGTAGTGTTAATTAAACAAATAAAAATCGGGTATTTCATCGGTTTATATATAAATCTCTTTTTTTTTTCATTTTTATTTTTTATTTTTTTAATTTTTTCTTTTTTTTTTTTGTTTTGTTTTGTTTTGTTTTATGAAGAACATGAGTTTGTTTGTATAGAATAAACATTTTTTTGCGGCCAAATAAAATTTACAGAGCTTTCTTTTTCATTATATTAAAAGGAGAGAAAAAAAAATTAAAAGCTCCATGTTATTCAAATGCCTATCAATCAAAATGATCGACGAACGTTTAATTTGACATCATAAAGCATCTAATCGCACAATAAGCTTGAAAATTTTGAAAACTCGAATTTTTAAACTTTGTATTGAAATGAAAATAGAATTATAACATATTAAAATTTAGAATTTGGAAAGCACTACCTTGTCGATACTTGAAAATATGAAGATTTTAAAATTTAATGACAATTTTAGGTCTAACTAAAAAGTTTATTTCGTTTAATAATAATTTTTCTTCAAAAACATTTTTAAATTTATTACTAACAAACTTTCTAGTTATCCCGATGCTGTCTTACGTTCCTTAATGTCTGTCTTAAGTCTATGAAAATTTAGATAATTTGAAAATTAAGTTTTCCTAGAGAATTTTAATGTATTAAAGGTAAATTTTAAAAAATTTCGAAATTTTCCTGACTAAAGAAGTCAAACGTCTGAAAAGCGAAATTTTTTGAATACAATTAAGGAAGTGTCAAGTCTCCATACAGAAAGAAAAACCAAAAAAAAAAAAAAAAAATAAAAATAAAGACAAATAAATAAAAGAAAAGAAAAAGGAAAAGGAAATTATTAAAAGCTTGATAACTAGAAAAGCTTGGAAAGAAGAATATACCTGCTGTCACAGACGACTTTTATATATTTACATTCTTATAAGCTCTTCAGTTGTTTGTTTCTCTTAGTAGATTTTCGTCGTATTTTAGTTTTGAAAACTTTTCAACATTTTTTTTACTATAATAAAAGTTTGCAAAACTGTTTTTAAGAGGCTTTAAACCCTAAAATTCTTGAACAATTCCAAATTTTAAATTTTAAATTAAAGCCAAAACTTAGCATAAACACGTAAAGCTTCCTCTTGACTAACTTTGAACTCGTTACTATACATAAGTCTTTTCAGTCCTCCATTTCAAGTGTTTTAAGCTTATCGTCGCAAAGTCACTCTACTTAATTTCGCCTCTCTCTCTCTCTCTCTCTCTCTCTCTCTCTCTCTCTCTCTCTCTTTTTATACTCTTTCAGCCTTTATATACATTTCTTATATTGTTCTCACCCTTTCCCGTTCATATTCAATAAATGTTTAAGTATTTATCGTTTTAATCTTTTTACAACGCGACCTCTTAAAGTATGATCAGGCACTGTACTCAATTTCTCTGATTTGTTGTTAACTACTGGGCTTAATGATGGACTGTTCGATACGCCAGTGCTAACACGTGGAGAAGTGCGTTTACCGAATATAGTTTTCAGTACTGGTTGAGTACCGTTAACTTCAGCTGCCTTTTTAGCTGATAGTAGACACCGTGCTCGTGTAGCTGCTGCCACAGCCGCAGCAGCATTCATTAATTTAGGCGAAGGTGGCGGAGCCGCCAAATTACTTCCAATGCTTTGTGATCTGGTCGATTTACTAAAACTAGTTGCAATTGTGGAGGAACTGGTGTCCGTAATAGAACTTTTTGATGCATCGTTCCTAAGCATGCTTCGTAGGGTTCGACGCTCGCTAAACGATACATGTTTTAGCAATGGTTTTGTAGACTGACGCAAGGCGGCCGTTGTTACGGAAGCCGTTGAACGATTTGTACTGAGCGGCGTTATTTTGGTCTTATTGTCCTGCATTGTCACTTGACGAGAACGTAAATTCAGTGCATGAACAGGCGGATGAGGAGGTACTTTGGTTAATGAAGGCGCTGGTTGTCCTGTTTGCTTATGGGTTTTATTACGTATCGGATTTGCGATAGTCAGCGCTCGACGATTGGTCGACGGTGTACAAGGATAATCGCTTATCAGCACATTCTTGTTACCACGGAAAGTAGCTGCAGCACTGCGTAAAAAGTCCCTAGAAACTGCATTATTAGGATATTTAAGTGCGGCTGCCACTAAAGCCGCCTTAGCTTTCATATCTTTAGCCATTGTGTTTCGTGCCCTTAACGTACGCTTAGAATAATCAACATAATCTTCGGAACTCTTTGTACTATTGCTACGTAGTTCACGTTTAATTTCAATCTTGGGCGTTGAATTGTCTGATGCGTGGAAATTTTGCGCTTTATTAGTGGCGGTGTTGGATGAGTTAAAAGTTTTGCGGAGATTTGATGAAGATTTCAATAGATTGCACGAGGAATGTTTGGATGAGATTCTCTTTAGATTTTCATTAGGTCGGTTGGGATAAAAGGTACGTGAGCGCAAACGTTCACGTGTGATGCCCTGAACTTTAAGTAAATCGTATTTGGTTTGATTGGGGACACATTGGGAAGATTTGGAATTTTTTATTAACAAAATATTTTTTACTGCAATAAGAGGCCTCTTATTTCGGACTGATGTATGCTTTTCAGGCGTGACATTAACTTCTGGCATGATTTCACGGCTACTACATGAATCTGAAGCTTCTTCATCGGTTTCTTCCAAAGCGATATCTTTTTCAGAACTAGAATCGATATCTGAGACTTCGCTACAATTTGAAGAAGAAACTTCATGAATTTGAACTGATGTATCAGCATCGCTGGTACCCGATGGGAATTCATCGTGTTCATCTAGATATTCTTCGACCAAAGGCGTTTCCTTATATGCCTTGTGTAACTGACTAGGCGCCTGGTTTAAAGATGTTACATTGTGCGATAAGGCCTGTAAGCAGGAATATTCCGCGATATTTTGCTCCGACAACTTTAACATTTGCTGTCGCTCGAGTGCCACTAGTTGTTCCTCTTCACGCTCCTGCTGTAATAAAGAGTGAAACTCCAAAGGCTTTTGCTGTAACGTAGTTACATAAGAAGTGGAAGGCAAATGAAAGAGTACTTGCTGAATAGACGGCTGTGTTCGAGTTGTATACGTTTCTACTTCATCTGGCATTTGGGTGGTTTGATGGCGAACAATACTCAAAGTCTGCACTCCAGTTTCATGTGTTTTGCATCCCTGCTGTTCTCGTCTGGTTTCCAATTTAGTCAGTGAATAGCCTTCTTCTTGACTCATACATTGTGCCTGATAGAGCTGTTGCTCTTTAATTATTTCATGCATATCGGGTCTTGATAGGCCTGAATTACTTGACGTAGGGCTATCAATTATGTGACTACCGGTTACACTTGTTATAGACCAAGATGAATTACAATCTTCCACAGCTTCTACGGACTCCATCTCACCCTCTTCCATGCGCTCCCCATATTGTAAAAGTGTACTATAGGATTGCGAGAAACTATTAAGATAACTGTCCTCAGCATTAGCATTTTCGTTATCGTGATGCAAATAATTTTGGTAGTTTATTACAGACACTTCGTGTTCCTCTTTGTTCATTTCTTCGTCAGATTCCTCTTGCATTTGCGCCACATGTTCTGTAGCGAATGATGTTGATTGCCAACTCCATGTGTTAGCATCAGCAGGATAATCGTGAGATTGTGCAATCGTTGACAATTTTGGCAACAATTCGAAATCTTCAGTCTCAGTTTCGTCGGTTTCGACAATTTCATTTTCACCCTCCGAGTCTTCAGCATAATAGTCAAAATTACGATATTCTATCGGTGGCAAATGCTTCATGGCCATTTCTTTATAAGTGGTTGCGTCATCACATGACGTTACATCAGCGTTAATCTCGGCCTGCTCAATACTGTACATCGGTTTCATCAACATGGGTGCGGTGGTCAGTGTGCAGATTTCTCGTCTTATGCCAATTGCGTCATCAGCATGATTGTGCACTCCTTTGCCTGGTGGATATAAAATAACAGTAACTACTGACGTATTGTCTGCTCTCATTTTTTTAGCAGACCAGGTCTTTAAAGCTTTTTCTACCAAAGATTTGCTAGGATTTGTCCATTGTACACCTTCGTTTGGTGCATCACCATGTTGTGCTTGTAATCTCTCATTAATTACTTCTTTTTCTCGCACCAAATTTACAGCTTCCTGAGCGGACACTACATTCCATAATCCATCAGTACCGAAAATCAAACAGCGGAACGTTTGCGAATCGATGGGGATAACTTTAACATCGGGATCCGGACTAACCACGAACTCATCGTTTTCGGAATTATAGCTCCACAAATCCCCAAGGCTGCGAGCCACCGCCAAAAAGGGTATTTCATCGATCAGTGTCTTTTTACGTATCGGCCCACGATGATTTGCTGCAAACAGATAAACTAACATAAAACGTCTTTATTTGATAATTTTCTTCTTTTTACCATTCCTTGGCCTGTTCCACACAACTCTGGGTACACCTGACTTTACAACCACTTTTCCGCCTGATTTCATTATACGTGTCCTCTCTTCCAAAGACTCCGGCTTATGGTCTACAGTTAGCTGTTTAGCTCTCCAGAAATTCTCATGATCGTTCTGATAGCCCAATACTATGCCCGAATCGCCTACATGACCAATGTAAATTTTTTCACGTCTTATAAAGGCTATAGTGGCTGTCGTGCCTGCAGTACTTGGCAAACCATTAGCAGTTTTAGGCCATTTTTCTAAAAAATATGATAAAAAAAGATATGTTAAGAATAATTAAACGGCAATGCTTTACTCATTCTTAAACTCTTATTCGGCAATAATTTTTAACATTATTTCCATAATTGTTCCTAATCCTTCCGGACAATATTTGCTTTCTGGCGTATTTGGAAACTATCATTCGCCCTAACCACTATATAGTTAAATTTGTGTGGGCAATGCTTGAAATTTATCATTTTTTATTCAAGTTGTTATTTAATTATACACCATTGCAGGGTTGGCAACATTCAAATCACAATTTGAGGTAATTCGTTTGCAGTTACCAAATGAGGAATTCCTTATAAATAGTGATTATTCTTTATATCTATGTATATATCTACAAATATATATGTATAAAAAACTATAATTAATAATAATTTATGAAGTACGGCGATAATCATTCGCCAATAATATACAATATCAAATTTCTACACAATTTGCCGTCATCTTATAAAATAATTGCAAAAACCGATCGATTTATAAGTATTTAAATGGTTCTTATGGTTCTCTGTAAATTAATAATTAATAATAGTAGTAGTCAAGTAAATCAAATATTAAAAGACTTTCCTTATGCCCTAATTGTAATTTCAGCAAAAAAATGGTCTCCACGTTAATCAATCAATATTTCAAGGCGAGGATTTGTGTCGAATATGTTAGCTATTTGCAATAATTTTGATCAGCAACTTCTACAGGTGAAAGTGATAGAGAAATAGGAAATAGCGGAGTATCGGGATAACGGTTGAATTCATTGGTTTCGATCTTCCTCTGCATAAAATCAGATTTTTCTAATCAATATTATCGATTTATTCGGCGTAAGCCGACTCTAATTATTGAGAGTACGTCTTCCAAATTGATTACTTTTGATGTTTATTTGAAAAAATCTATTGCCAAAGCCCACCAAATATTTACGGGGGCTTATGGTGCAGCAACTCCAATTGTCGGTTTTGAGTTCAACGATTTAAAAGTGGCGACACGAATTAACAGAAAATGCCATTTTTTGACCACTTGCTGCAAGAGGCGTCCTCCAGGAGAAACTGTTACTGCTCAAAAGCGAAATTCAGCCACACCCAGCGTACTGACCAAAAATGGTGCCTCCTGATTACTTACAAATTATCCAAATCGGGGCAGAATGACTTGCCTGGCATGTGGGTCCGCAAAATTGAAGAAGTACGAAAATGGGTCGGTAGGTGGATCGCTACCGAATCAATATAAGTTTTTTCGACATGATACCGTCAGGTTGCCAAAAATATTATTAAAGAAAATGATAGAGATAACTTTGATTAATATACATTATACCAAATTTTCCACAATGTCTTTTTCAAGTAAAAAGATGATCAAAATTTTTGCAAATACCTAATAAAACATACAAGTGCATACGGAAATGGTATATTTGTAAAGAATTGTAATTATAAAATTCTAACAAATATTATTAAGCCTTCAAGCGATGAATCAAAATGCTTCGTATTAAATATATATTAGAATACGCACACCAACCTTAGGACTAACTACTAAAGTTATCTCTATAATCTATCCAATATATCTACCTAACAAAAATTTTATCTGGAAAATTTGTTGTTTAGTTACCACCTTCATAGATAAGATATAATAGTGTTGATTACACAAGAGAACAAAAGTATGACATAAAATACTGTCATTATCAACATATACGTGGTGAATTTTTAATGCATCAATAATAAAATATTCATTAATCAAAGTTGACAAGAAAATGTAAAATGGCATACGAATGTACTAACTATGCAGCGTTGCAATACTTTAAAAACAAAAAAAAAGAGACGAGACGGAAAAAAATCAATAAAATTGCAAAAGAAACGAGTCGGACACTCAAATAGAAAGACGGAAATTGCAAACCTCACAAAGAGAAAGTTGATTTGTTGTTTTCTGTTAAGTCTGCTTGTAGAAATATTTATTCGTTAACACGTTGTAATAATTCTAGAAATTTTATCATAAACATAACAAATTAAATAAACAAGGTCCTATTCGTAAGTAACAAGAAAAAGTACAATACACATTTCTAGAAATATGTACCTTTATTTTTAAGTTATAAAATTTGCTGACAAATATGTGAAAACTAACACTTTGTCCATGACTAACTTACTATGTATATATACATACAAAAACACCACACAACTACAACGCAGTAGTTATGTTGAAAATTGAATGGTTGCTTGACTACCAGTAGCAGCTAGCTTGATTACTTGCTTGCTTGCCTTTCCAGCCTTTATTATTGTTATTATTTCTTTTCTTACTTGTTCGCCTCTCTTATGTAAACACAAGCAACCACCACCATACGGTAACGTACGTATTATACTTTGACAGTAGATTATATTTTCTGTGTTAAGTATTTTAACGCACATAGATATATATAGTATTTATATACATTTATTGATGTTAAATATACACCTCATACCCGTCAGTTGAGCTAAACAATGCCACACAGGCAACCAGGCCAGCGGAAAATAACAGCAAAACGGAATAAGCAAAAATTTTTTTAAAGCTGGCAATGAATTGAAATTAAATTGTGATATATAAAGCGTACATGTATTCATATAATACATACTGTACACTTACATGTATAATATCACACCACTTATAGCTATAGATAGATTTCTCTTTCTCTTGCACAATATAATTTTGTGGGAATATTCCATTGTATGAAATATACGGTTACTATCTATGTGCCTATGCATTCGGATATGTATGCGTGCATAATTCATGTAGACACAAATTCATGGCAGAGTTACCATTCTTTCGAAAATAGATATACTACAAAAAAAATTAACCAATCGCAAAGAGATAGATAACATTGAAAGGTCAAATCTTGGCTAATACTTAAGAATACTCCGAAATCAACTTTTAGAAAAGAGAGTAAATATAACTTACAGTAGAAACAACCCCAAATATTATAACGTAGATAATTTTTTAACAAATAAATTGAACTAAAAAATTCCGAGAGTAGAACTAGAAAAATCGGACTATAGCTTACAAAGTCCAAGATTCCCTTAATAACTTCATTTCTATTGCGGAAAATTATTAACCCAATCAAAATTTGTTTGTTGACCATTTTCAGATAAATTTTACATTTTAATTGAAATATCCATTTAAATAGAAAATTGAGGAAGGGTACCTATGATTTACAAGAACCTAATCGTTATAGAATGAAAAATGAATTAAGACCAATTTGATAATTAACTCAAAAAATCGGGCATTTGCAAGGTGACAAATTAATATTGTAAGCAAAGAATAGTAATAACGTAAATAAGATGAACGGAAATGAAGTAAGGCATTGTTCATACATTTTTATGTCTGGATTAACCTGGTAACGTCCGCTTTTGCTTACACGAATCAATTTCAGAAAAACACCAAAGCTAAGCCAATAACTATGTATTTAGGCAAATCGGTTCATGGCGCTACCTTGCCGCTATTAAAATCACTCCCAAAAATTAGTTTGAAATTAGTTTTGTGTGATGCAAAGAATATATACATTTTGCGAACACATGCAAAATGTGACCGAGTTGCTGACGGCAATTACTTGAAATTATGATTCATACTTAGGGTTAACGATGAATCAAAGTGATTAATCTAGTTGAGGTATTCAATAGCATTGGCGCAAAACACAATAAGAACGAATTCAAAGTCATATTTTTCTGTAGAGCTCAAGTGCCTAACGTTCTGGCAGCTCTTTTTCTTTCTTATTGCATGGACTTCACTACTAACATGCAACACCTATGTGATGACTCTATGAGGGAATAATAAACAAACACTAACTCATTTCTCTCTATAAATATGAAAAAAAGCCCCTTCACCATTTATACACGATCCTAATGTACGGGAAGTACAATTTATATAAACAACGACAATCTATCACCACAGCAGCTACACACTGCCAAGCCCAGCGTTGATAAAAAAAATGACAGCAAAATATGTATGCAGGCAGTATATATATATATATATATATATATATATTTGTGTGTGTGTATGGAGGCAATGACGTGCATAGTCTGTACAGCATGTTGGTGTATACTTCATATGTGTGCATTTACGTGGTTGAAAACCAGCGCTATGTTATATTCATAGAAATGAAAATTTTAATCATTATAAATACACGAAATAATAAAAGCAGTAAACGAAAAAACCAGATGTGGTGAAATTCGACGTATAGAGAGTATTTTTTAGCTATAAACTCGCATATATACATTTTTGCCTGCTTGGTTCGCCTTACTTCATACGAATGTATGCATGTGAATACAATATAATGCTATTTATTATACACTCGCCTGAGCAACTCATTAAACATTTTTCAGATTAATTAAAAGAAATACACATACATACATATATATATATATATAGATAAAAAATGTTAAAAAATATATATAAAGTTATTTGCTACATAGCTAAGTTATACAGGCGGGCAACTCTTAACTGAGCTTAGTCAATTATAATGGCAGTATTTGTATAAATGGCACTGCAACGCAGGATGATTGTCATGATATCGTTAGTGGTTTATTTTTGCACTTGTTTAGAAAACCGTCCAATAAATACATTATTACAACTAATTCCGTAAAGCAGAAAAAAAAGAGAAGATTGGTTGTGGTCTCTGCTTTTCTTTTGATTTAAACCGTAACAGCAGCAGATGCATGTAAGAATGATGGCATACGATAATAATAATGCGTACATGTGAATGATACGATTTATATAGAGATAATTGTTGGTGTATTAGGTGGGTGGTACAAATGGATAAAATCTTTGATAAAACAATCAAGTTTGTTTACTTCTCTCAAATGCTTTGTAATTAACACATTAGTTGACACTATGTTGAAGGCCTTACTTGTCTTCCCGTCATCGTTTTTTCTTTCCTTCTAAAGAAATCTTACATTCCTGTGATGCATAAAAATCTTAATTAACATTAAACTTTATAGGTTAATAAATTAATTTAAGTTGTGTAAATTTGGCTCTTCTTTCATTCTTCAATATTCTCCAACCGTTTCGAATTAATCATCAAAATTTCTTAAAAAAAAAAAAAAAAAACATGTCATTTTCCTCCTTGAGTGAAAAATAATTTATATTCCATTTAAGTTGTGTGGAAGAATTGTGACCTCAACATCCACTCATCATAATAACATGCGGTTAATAAGTCAGTTACATACGAATATAAATGCATCTGCCTACATTGCATATAATAGAGATATAATCCAATATTACATCAAATAATTTTAAATACTTTTCATTATTGTTGCATTTTGAAAAGAGAAAAAAAATAGAGGACGAATAAATGGTTCAGTTTCTTCATGGATTTAAAAGTCTCACCTATCTAGCTTCTTCATGTCTATCAAGGAATATTAGTAAATATTGGTAACGGTAACGAAATGTAGTTTAAATACGCCCCAAGAATTTAATATAAAATAATTTCTCATTCTCGAGCTGCTTATTTTCACTCTCGCTGGATTACGACCTCCAAAGCTGTATAAAGTTTGAACTTGCTTGCTTTTTAATTAATAAAATTTCCACGTTAAGAATGAAAATCAGCAAAAGGTATTTGAGAGTTTTCCAACAATTATCAAGAAGACATAATATTTTTTAACTAAATAAGTGCTGTATATAAATATATTCATATATTCACAAAAAATGCAATAATTAGCATTTCAATAAAACCTACCGGCGATAGGGACTATAAAATATTATTTAAAATGAATAAAATGTTCTCGCTTAAAAGGCCCTTCAGATATGCTTAATCGGATTTAATTCTAAAACGTTTGCACTTAACTTCATCTAACTTATGCAATGTAATAGAGAAGTCAAATATTATTCACTTCCCTGTTGGGGCAACATCGTAAAGCAACGTTTTAGAAATGATTTGCTTTAGAATTAATGCTAATGCAAATCTCAAACATGTAACAATAAAAAAGATGATGCAGTGATGCGCTGGTTTTTCTTTAAAATGGATGTACTTGATCATTTAAACAGCAATTATTTTTGTTGAATATTTCAAATCGTTCAGAGGGTTTAACATCATAGCTTATAATTCAAAAATATTAAAAACAACGATGGATTTAAAAACAATTTAACTGAGCTGATTTGAAATCTTCCATTTATCAAGCTTACAATGAAACCAGCGAGCGTCGTATTTAGTTCACTTGCAAGTATTTTTAACAATTCATATTTTTCTATTGCCTACTGCTTTGCCCCTTACATTAGCCTTTTTAAGAGCTCCAACGGAGGCAAAGTGAAATATTTCAATCTATTGCATATCATGAGCTTAATCGAGGCATAATGAAAACATATTTAGTAAATAGATCTCAACAACATATCGAGGAAGTTCAAGTCACGAAGAAAGCGAAATATCTCAAATGAAATTTGAACAACGTGAATTTTTTGCAGCTCATCACTTCTTTAAAAAGTTTTTCGGTTTTAAAATAAATCTTTTTCTTAAATATAATAAAATATTTTAAATTTTATATACTTGGCTTATTTTATTCTTACCTTGTTCCCTCCACATAGAATAATGTGTTGCTATATAACCTTCCCGGATGGCTCGCAATATATCTTGATCTGAATCGGACCAGAATAATTTCTGTTTGATTATCTCCATCATGAGATGCTCTTTAGCGAATGTAGCCGCTTCGGCACCCCCATGACCATCGTAGATTCCTATGAAAGCATATTCCAAATCTTTAGCATTCTCAGATTGTTGATAGGCGACTGAAAAGTAGTCTTCCATATATTTGCGGCCACCTTGACTACACTGACCGGTTACACGTAAGTTGACGCCAATTGACGGCGTCAGAGATTGCTGAGTGGAAACGTTCGATGATGATGATGATGATGATGATGATAATACAGGTGAGTTGGTTCCACTAGATATATCACTACCACTACTAATGCCATTCATTACTAAATGGGATGGTCGTGACGGTAGTTGATAGGAACTATGGGAATATTGCTGCTGCAAGATTTTCTGTTGGTATATTGGCGATGGCGATTGCGGTTGCATTGATACATTATCCAAACATATTGAGGAAGTCAATGATGCATTCGAATGTAGGTCTTGATCCATTTCTGGCGTTATTTCCAAATCATTAGCATTTTTATTTACATGGAGATTTATATGTGATGGGATTATTCTTCTTGTTAACGGAACGGAAAGTGATTGATGGTTTGTGGAATTATTTATTGTTAATTCTGTATCGAGGCATTGCATTTTGTTTATATCCACTGCCGTTTCCGTTGGTTTTGTGAGACTGTTACAGTTGTTGTTGTTGGTTTTTTTGTTTTCTAAACTTAATGTAGAAATTTGCTTGACATTTGCACTCTTCCCTCGCTGCTTGTTTTGCTTTTTTATTAACTTTAACTTCTGTCGTTGTTGTTGGTGCAATATCATTTGATGCTTTTGTTGTTGTTTTGTTTGTGGCTGCATTTACAAAATGACAGCACTTACATTCACACATTATATGATATGAAAGTTAGAAGTGAAAAAGAGCACAACACAAATGCTCCGTTGTTTACCCACACTGCTGGGTATACGGCAATGTGTATATTTACTTATATATGTTTCAAGTATTCGCTTTTGTGCTGCTCTTCGTTTGGTCTTCTTATTCCTCGTTTCCTCTGTTCATCGACTCTTTGCCTTTTTGCTGATTGGGTTATAACAATAAGGTCTCAACGACTGCCTTCGTATATGTGCGCACACCGAATAATAAAGCAGAGCCACAAACGACCTCTTTTTTATTTTATTTAATTTCCCTTGCTTTTCAATCCAATACTTATTATTCTTTCGTCTTTTTTGATGCTTTCCTCACAAATTTCTATACTTTTCCTTCTTCTTCTTTTTACTTAAATTAAGGAAAAAATTTGCCTATATTTTTTATTACGAATAAATTGATTGGATTGAAAAAATTTATACATTATTTTTTTGCATTTTTTCAACAAATGATTTTTATTTCAATTTCAGCTGTGCGTATGTATATGTGTGAATTTTATCTGTTTTTTTTTTGTTTTTTTACACCTTCATACACATATATACATATATACATAATTAAACAAAACCTTTTTTCACTTGAAAAACGACACAAAACACTCGGTAAACTCAGTTCCTTTATCGTCGACTGCAACTCTGTATCTGCCAAAGTGCTGTCAAATGAATTTCTACCACAGCAGCATTTCTACGGCACAATTCAACCACCAGCATTTTAAAGAGAGTAAGAGAGAGAAAGATAGATAAACCATTCAGTATTTATTTACATATATACTTTACTTATATATACATATATATATATTCAGTGAAATCACCACAGTTTGTGTTATATAGAAATTTTATTTAGTATTTTCTCCCACATGTTTAAAAATTGTAATGCTGACATTATTTTGTGTTATAATTATAACTTTATTATATAAAAGCCCCTTTTTCATTGCTTTTACAAAATTCCACTATTTAAATTTATTAAATTTATATAATTTAAATACGGGTTAGTAATTGAAAACTATAATTTGATTCAAAAATTGAATAACAGTAATAAAAAAATAATTATATTCTTAATGAGGAGAAAGGCGGATAAATACCGAGAGAGAGAGCGAGATGTAAATAGAGAGAGTTTCATTTGAGTTGTTTGTAATAAAGCATAAAAACGAACTAACGGTAGAATTTCAAGTTTTTCTTTCCCAATATATCGATTAGCAAGTTTAAAGAAAATCGGAAATATGCTTCTTTATTATATCAATATAGACTTCCAGCGCATAATGAACAAGAACAGAATTTTCAAAATATATTGTAATTGAAATTAGTATAGGAAGTAGCCTATTAACTAATAGGTAGTAGTATGCTGCAGATTCTTGATTAATTTATGTAGATCGCCTTCGTGACTTACGTTTCCTAATTTTACTTAAATGAAAACTAAATGGACTGCGTGTTATTTGTACAATTATGTTTAAGAATCAACAACGTGATCTTTTTTTTTTCTTGTATTTTTGTTAAACTTTAAATTTAACGAAGATTGTCTTATCAATTGTCAATTTAACGTTATGGTTGTTGATAAACACACATACAATGCAAAGACACGTCTTTATAATGTATTTCTATAAATTCCATACGATACATACATATCTATATTGCACATGTACAAGGTTTTTCTTGAAATTGGTATTAATTGGTATTTTGGTCATCGTAAGCATGAAATTGTTCTCCAAAAATTAAAACATAGGAATAATATTTATGAATAATAATGTTTTTAGCCATATTCTCTACCTAAGTTAAAAGCACAGCGCAAAAAAATGCATCTGTTAAGGTGACCGAGAAGAATACATATGAGTGTGCATCCTTTTAAATTTTTTCGTTTACTAGGAAGGATTATTGCTTCTACTTTACTTTGCTACCCAAAGATTTTAAGGCTTCTTCTTCTTCGGTATTATTTTTTGTAAGGCTGTAGGCTTTTATCAAATATATGCCTCAGAGATTCCACAGAAAATATATGCGGTTAATCAACGTAAAGAGTCTCTCTAACTGTCTTTCTGTCAGGTATCTTAAGTATTATATACTTAGAAGTTCGTCTAGAATGTATTTCGTTTTAAATTGTTTTTCTTTCTTGTTGAATTCGGAAACTAAGTACATCAATGGATAGATCTCTCAATATTTACTAAAATATCAGACATTTCCTGTTTTCTTAATCAAAGCCTCCAAATTTCACCTAGCCTTAAATGTTTTCTTATGGAAATTTGAGTTTCGGGCCCGGATATCGTCTAAATCGATTTTTTTTTGCTATGTACATAGGATTTTTAGTTATGCACAAGAAGCAATGAATGAAATTCTATCCATATAAACATATAAGAATAAAAAATATGATTAGTGTTTATATAAAACGATATATCTTTTTAATGAAAAAGAGCGCTCATTCCAAGCGCTTGTTACAAGATTGTTTTATGATAGCGTTGTCGGCATATAGTCAATGTAATTGTTAAATGTTTCCATTATACGATCATCATTTACCAAAGAAAAGACAATTTTTCCTTTTTCTTTCGTCAATTTTCATATTTAATATGTACACTACTACACGTAAGCAGTTCACCTCAATCGAAGAATCAAGATCAAGGATAAATAACTTTCTTTGTAGCTATGCAAGTATTTCCAAATACTGAATTTCAAAACCCAATGATGGAAAGAAATGTAAAAAATCGGCTTCACAATAAATTCTTCTGACGTTATTTAGAACAGAATTGCGCAAAATTAGCAAAAATATAAAAATATATGAAAAAATTGTTGGTTTTTTCAGTTTCGTTTCTGTTCTAAGTGCGAATGTAAGCCACAATTTTTGAAACTTTGATTCTCAATATTAGTGTCATATTTAGCTTCCTATCTTAGTCGTTGCGGCTATGGCTTATTCCCCAAAGGTTGGGAATCAATATGATCCCTTTTGGCAGAAAGAGGTTTGTGCGAGATTTTGGTAGTTCTACTAACAAAAATGAAGAGACAAATATAAAACAATGGCTTCCTTTCATTTGTATTATTAATTGTAAGAGGTGAGATTAATAAAACAATTTACATATAAGAGGCTAATTGTAAGCATTAGAAAGGATATGACATTATGTTTTCCTCCATTTAGCAGATTATCATGTGTCCTCCAAATTCTGCAACTTCTCGAAGTACGGATATTTTCAAGTGGTAAAGCGACAAATTGCAGACAATCGACAAGAATTACAGCACCTCTCGCCCCAGGACCCTTTAAACAAGTTGACTTGTTTACCTTAATATAAATATCGTATTTTTTTATTTAAATGTTAATAAGGAACAGTGTACAAATGAAACTATTAAATTATTCAGTTTAAAACTTCAGTTATAAAATATTTTTATATATATATCTATATATATATATATATATATATATATATATCTTATGTATTTTTAATTTATTTTTTGCAAATCGTTATAAATAGGCTTTAAAGTGGAGAGACGGTCAAAAGCGCCTTTAATCACTGTTATTTTTTTATTTTGCATCGTTAGGTATTGCTTGGGTTGTTATTGTAAAATTTTGTGCGCTCTGAGAAGAGATTTCATTTGATGCAGAAATCTCTTGTCGCGAGAGCTTGTGCGAAATAATACATAGAATAGATAGATATTAAATACTGAGAAGAAAACTTGACATACGATAAATGAATTGTGTTAAAACGTCTATATGCATTTTTAATATCGCTTTATATCCTTACGTTTCACAAATAAAATTGCAAGCAAAAGAAACAACATGTATGGTGTTTGGAGTTTCTTGTCGCGATAAACTTGGGCAAAACGCAAGAGAAATATTTCTAAATAAACAAAAAAACAAGCAAATACGCATATACACAAAAGTACATGAATGAATTTTTATAAAATAAATTTTAAAAAAAATAGGCCTCTTTAACTCATAATTTAATACGCTCGTAAGGTGTTTTGGAGCATATGGAAAGACTTGCTCCGCTTTACATGGAAATGTGATCGTGTGCTTAAACCCATCAGATTGATCTACACTTTCACCTTCAACTTTTGTTTTGCCTCAGAGTAAAGGTATAATTTCAAGTAAATGATTGAAATGAAATATAACACTGTTTACTTTTCTACGCGAAACCGTTGTCAAATACGGCTTTTGCGATGATAATTATACTTGATCATGGAAAATACTATAAATTAAAAGAAAAAAAAAAAAAAAAATTAGTTTTGGATCATATTCTACAATATTGGCTAAGATGTAACTTTAAATAGTTGAGTTTATTGTGCTTTCAGTATTTATTCAATAGATTTCTAAAATAACATTCTAAAAACTATTATAGCCTGATAGGGAGATGCATGTGGGACGTCTACCAGCCCGTTGCTGCTATGATCGCTGCGCAGCCACTCGTTACAAAGTTAAAAGAAGCTCTAAAGCAGTCTAACGTTCTTTGCGTCAAGAAAAAGAGATTGAAGTTTGCAAATGGTGAAGCAAGTTTAATCAATATGTGGCGGAAATTAGTTGATAATGACGTGCAACAAATTACAAGGCACCAAGTAAATTTCTCACTGTAAAGAGTACAGTTTTATTATTAAAAAGGCAAATGGATTATGAAGCGGCTGCACCAATAAGTTGTTGCAACACAAAAAAAGGAGTTATTACAAGGAATCAACGAATTTCTAAAGAATATTTAGATATGCAAATGATAAATGGCGGCCAAGACAATTAGTCTGTTATATGTGAGTAAGTGTGCAATATATCAGTTATGTTACGTAACAAAGGAATGGTTTTTTAAGAAATTCATCTAAAATTCCACTATACGAATTTATGGGCGACCACGAAGTTTCGTCTGGCTTCTATATGATTCATAAGTAAGTGAACACCAGTTATAACCTATATTACAGATACAAAAAAAAAAAAGGATTAAACAATTTACCAGGAGAAGCGAAGATTTTTCAGAATATTTCTAATGAAGCGAACAATATATTGAAGAAGACGATCAAATTATCGCTTTTCACCAACCTTGTCATTTAAGAATGGATTGACCGACTTCTGATGTACTTTTTTAACGACTTTATATATTATGTGACAGCATTTAGTTTATATAGAAATTAATATGCACAAATATTAAATTCGCTTTAAAATCGAGGCTAAATGTTAGATCACACATTTTTGACATCAACAATGCAAATATTGACCGCCTTTAATATATTAAAAAATAATAAATCAATGATAATAAAATCTATAAATAATGTCATATAATAGAAAGTAAATTTTACGAATGTTAAGACTTGAAATATTATTCTGAAAACCTAGTGGAGAGTTTTTTTTAATCTGTGTAATACATTTGGAATATTATACCAAAATACTAATAGAAAGTTCTTTCAACTTGCAGTGACATGTGAAAAGCAAAAAAAAAAAAAAAAAAAGTACATAGACAACATATTAATAAAAAGAAATAAAAAATGGGTCGATTTATATAGAATTTTCCAACAATGAAGAAAATCATTATTCAATACAATACAAAATCGTGTTGATTGGCTTTCCCATATATCGCTACAAAAAAAGAGTTTCTTTTTTTATCCATTTTGTCTCTGAAACGAATGCTAAACATATTTACATTATTAATTAGATAATTGACTCTGATATTTGAATATGAAATAAGTAAAAACAGTGCCATTTTAAGTGTTGACACTTAAGCTACACATGAAAGCTCGATAAAAAGTAAATGGATCCCCTTAGCTGTTTAGCTTTGAAAACGATAGGTGCGGTTTACATATTAACACATGATTCAAGAAATCCGTAAGGTTACTAATAAAAAAATAATTTTTATTCATTAACGCAACCTTTTTCAAGAGTAATACATTCATTCCAACGGTTCTCCAGCATTTCTATGACTTTCTTATCGACTGATTTGTCCAACCCTTCAAAATATGCTCCAATATCGTCGATCGGCTCTTCGTTGAAGCTACATCTCAAACATTTTCTGGAGATTTGGAAACTGATAATAGTCGGTGGAAGCTAAATCCGGAGAAAATGGCGGATATGGAAATAGTTCCAGATTCAATTCGTGCAATTTTGCTGCAATGGCCATCGACTTGGCATACGGTGGAATGTTTGGTGAAGAAGCATTTTTTTTTATTACGCATGAGAAGTTTTTTTTCTTGATTTCTAGACTCAATCAATGCAATAACGGCACGTAATAATTCGCTATTGATCTTTGAACCGCTTTCAAAATGATCGATGGACAAAATAAGGATGACATACCCTTGCCATCAGTCTGTTGAGTTATTGGTCACTTTGGACGAATTTCACCGGCTGCTGTCCACTCCGCTGACGATCTCTATGATTCAGGTGTGTAGTACTGGATCCATGTCGCATTCTTTGTCCGATACCTCTGAGTCGTCGAGGAATTTCTGTCTTTTGGTCAAAGCTTTTTTATGTTCATGCAAAATGCTGAACACACCTCCTGCTGATATCTTTAAGGTGTCAACTATTTCGCGCAACTTAGTTGTGGGCTCTTCCAAAACGATTTTATGCACATTTAAGCTAGCACTATAAGGCTTTAATCTTAGACTTTAATTCTCTAGCTAAAAATGTAATAATAATAATGCTAATATTTTCTGAAACTGCCGGTTTTGACCGATCAGCGCACTAATCAAGTCAATCACACACTAATATAATGGTTATCACTGTTTGACTTCGAAAGTATTTTCCTCCATCAAAAAAAAGAAAAAAAATGGAAACCATGTTCAATCTACACATAGTTTTTATTCATTGCTTTTAAGATCACAAATGTAGCGTAGCTTGTTGGATTGTCATGAAATTTAGACACGTATCATTTGATGGTCGTTTCTATGCAAGGGGGTAATCACGTATTTATAAGCTAATTTTCGTTCGTGACTAAATCGACAATTGATAAACGTTTTTGGGCCGATTGTGTAAGACATTCGAATCATTTTCTTTACTTTCATTCATATGTAAATAAAGAAATTTTTGTTTATTTTTAATTGTGGCTATCAAAATCCGAACGATAACAACTGGTTCTCCTCTCTGATAAATAAACAAACAAATAAATACAATAGAGTAATACGGTGAATAACATTTTCAGGTATTGTAAAATCATTGGAAGCCCTTTTCCGTCTCGCAATAATTCTCTGTCGCAAACCACGATCTTCTTTCATCAAATGGTATAAAGTCGAAGCATTCTGCCTAATATTTATACATTATGGTTAACACAAAACGGTTATTTACTTACATATGATAATATACTACTTAAGTTTTACAAATTAAATTTTTTCTTTTTGGTTGACATGAAATGAATAAAGCTAATAAAGAATGTGACATATATCTCCACTCAAAAAATTCTAAATGACTTTCCATTTTTATTACGCTGCTAAATCAAACTTATTTAGTTAATAAATTTTGTTCTGAGTCAACTATTTACAGGTAGACAGTTTTGCTTGGAATTTATTTTATTCTCAATTTACAACTGTTTTCTCTAATAAACTCTAAACAACAAATACTAATATCAAACTTAAACTCTTTTACACTTGTATAATTTAATAACTGCGGGAGAACATAATTAGCAGCTTTTTTTCTTGCCTACGTGATCCTAAAAAACTGACAGCGGCCAACCAAGGCCGAACGCTAACACATACGCTACATACGCGACGCGAAATCGACCGAAAACTGTACGTATTTACAACTCAGAAATCATATGGATCTGTCAACAGTGTTGCTATATGATGTATTACATTTCCGATGTATGTTGATAAAAATAATTCGAAGAGATAAATAAGAATTTATCATAAAATATGAATTGTCAGTTATTTCGTACACATTATTAGCTGAGAAATCCAAAAGGCTTAATGAGAATATATACTCATTTAAATGAAGGAGAAAATAACGTGGCAAAACATTAAACACTTTGTGCATTATTTTTACGGTTTGTTTTTGTAATTGAAACCGAATACACATGTAGAATAATGCGCAGATATTACTTTCGACAGTATAAAAAGGTGAATTACTGTGTATATCTGCTACAAAAATTATACTTTTTTTTCGCTGCCTGTTATGCCCTCAAGAAATTTAGGATCTTCCTAATTTTAGAAAATAAAAGCTTCACATTAAAAAAATGCCCCATATTCTCAATGATCAACTTTTTGATGACTTTTGATTTATAAGAAAAATAAGAACCCCTTATTTTCATAGCCAACGGTTGTAAAAGTAAATTTGCATATATTGGAGTTGATTTATAAGATATATTAATAATTAGATTATAAATGCAACATCATTGCAGATCAATTTGAATTTGAAACTAAACTCATTGAGTTTCATCTGCTTTAACATATAAAAATATATTTTCGCAAAAGGAAGTTGTGGAATATTCAATAAAATTTTTTGCTGTTTATTTCATTTTGCAAATAAAATTATTTTTTTAAGTTTATAAAAAAAAATAATTTAAGATGTTTTCATATTTTATCCACGTCTTCCCCTTGTTAACAAAAATAAATTAAATATATGAGTGATTTTATAAAATGAAATTTGTCTTCAATTCAGCGCTTTTGATACACAAATAAAAACTTTCGAAAAGAATTCATTTTGTTTTCAGGCAAAGTCTAAAGACATTTTAGAATTCCCGATGTCTGTGCCTCTTCTTGGCGTAAATTTAATTTCGAGCAGGCTATTGATGACTTTAGTTGCAATACTAATACATAATAAAAATTGCACGTGTAAACAGGTTAAAGCGATTTTATGCTATTAATAGTATATTAAATTTGCATGAAGAATTTTGTTACAATGTTGCCACATTGCAAAATAAACATGTTGCCATTCGTTGGAAAAATTACAGAAAATGTAGCTAATTTACTTTTTCGAGAAATGGGTAACACTGTTTTTGATAGAAGCCGCCTGATAGAAGACGCCTAAACAGAACCAATCAGCGCATTCCCCTTAAACCGTAAGTATCAAAATCAACATATATTTAATTTGAAAACACCGTGCAAGCAACACGCAGGAAAATTTTTTTAAAAAATTATTAAGAAGAATATTAAAAGCACTGAAAAAGTATAAATAAAATCTTTAGAAAAAAAGCGAAGATATATTGAGCGCCAAATTAAGAGATAGGAAGGAGCTGCAACAACAACTAATTTCTAACAGAAGTGTGTTGTAAAGTACAACAATTTCGGTTGTTTTTCATTTAATTTTCTGTTCGGAAAGAAAGAAAAAAATTCTGTGCTGTCGAGCAGTTAAGACAGAAAAACCAAGTTTTCATAGAGAATTCTAACAGAATATATGTGAAAAACGCCATACGAGGAAAATATTTGAATATTTTACAAAAACAAAAAATATTGTGAAAAAAATTCGAATCTCAAGTGCTAAAATCAAAAAGAAAAATCAGAACTACTGAGCACAGGGCGAATTACATACAATCACAACAAAAAAATATCTAAAATTTAAAGCGGTGAGTTATTCTTTTTCTCTTATATCTACTCGTGGTGCACAAGTGGTAGCAGAAAAAGAAAAAAAAGAAGAAAATAGCACCTATAGACATAAGCATGCAAGTAAAATTGAAACGTTTGTGGGTTTGAGGAAAAAAAGAGAGAGAGAGAGAATCGAAAAACTTTTAAATTCCCGCACCCGGTTGTGTTCAAAGACGTGTCTGTGGGTGGCTGGCTGGCTAGCTGGTGGATTCCCAGAATTTAGTTTCTTTTATGGGATGCGTACTATATAACATATATATTTGTGTGTGGTCTTGTGCGTGCCTTAAGTAAATAGCAAAAAATTCTCTAGGTCCAATTTTTTTTATGCAAATATAAGAATTTTCGAATGTGTTGATTTATTTCTGCGGATAACAACAGAATCTTCTCGAAATACATTTTAAATCATGTGTACGCATAATTGATTTGAAATTTGTGTAAACATTTTTCGGGTTTTCTATTAATAAATATGCTAATTTAGGTTAGCATTGTATCACTTAGTTTTCCAATTTTTTCCAATTTTTTTTTTTTTAAAGTCAATGAGGGATGGGGAGTCAGTTTGTCATATTGATGGGTAATTTTCATAAAAACGTATTTACGTGTTTAGTAGGGTTTCATTTTTATATTTAGAGGTTAGGATGAATCTCAGATGAATGAATAAAACCACATAATCCATCTGTAAACTTAACGTCTTGACATTTCTCATTTTCCTTGTGAACCAAAGTCAATTTGCAGTGTATTACAAGGAAGTGCATTATGGGAATGTTTTGTTTTTATATTTTTTTTTTTTTTATTATTTTTTTAATGAAATTAAGAGCAAAAATGTGTCGAACAAATGTGAGATTAAAGAATATATATTAAAGGATGATCTATTTACTTTTTTTTTTTTTAACAAAAATCACTGAATATTTTTAATAAAAATGAAGGTCGAATTTGTGTGCCATGTGTGTAGGGCAAACAATATCGATTTGCCATCGCGGCTTATAGCACAACCATGCAATCAATTATTTAAAATTTTTTGTGAACAAAATAGTATGGATTCCCAAAGTAGTGTCTGGAGAGAATTTATTAGGACAAAAGAAGGAGCGTAGAATGTATGTGGATTCCTTCAATGAAGTGCTTCCCGATTCGACCAAATAGAATTTGTTTTGATATACTAATTAAGGATATCCTGATGTGATCGTTTCGTTTTATATAGATATATGAGTGCAAAAGCTTGCAAATGATTCACGATTGTAACCTTAAAACTATTGCATAGTCGTCATGCTTAACATCTTTAATATAGAATTTGCCTTTCTATCAAAGTTGTTTGATAGTTGTTGTTGTACATTTGGAGTCTTGACATCTAATAATAATTTTTCAAGCGATCTCGGAAATAATCGGTTAGGACGGTATTCATAGAGATAATTGTTGGGTAAATTAATCAAATCAAATTTTTGAAGTGCTATAGCTTTTCATTTGCCGGCGTAAGCAAATGTGAGAGCCATATGCTCGGAATGATTTTATAATGGAAATCACTATCAAGCTTAGAGATTACTGTTTTAGATCTTGAGCAATAAATACTATGTTTTGGGAGAAACTTGTTCTTCTTGAAACTTCGTTTCTAGCGTCTTCGTTTTTATATTTTATGGATATATAAACATTACTGAAAGTATATGACGGGATGCAAATTGTTTCGTCTGTTCGTTAAAATGTTTGGATGGGTTTAAAAAGCCTCAACTCATAACGTGGGAAGGTTGAAAATGCCAAACGGTGTACGATGTAATCATAAAAGTAGAAATCGTGTATTGAATATCACTGTAAAAACACGCTCTAATATAATTATGTCAACGAACCGTAATGCTTATTTACTTTCAAACGTAACTCTAACGGTATACTAAATGATCTATAATTTTGTAATACTTTTAGGATAGTTGCGAAGTGACCACCTTCACTACTTTGTAGCAAAAAAAAAAAAAAATAAAAAAAAAATAACCTCACTTTTAATTTGCAATAGTTAACACCTACAGATTTATTTATTAAAAAAATCATATTGATGTAAAAATAAAAAAAAAAAAAACCTTTCACACTAAAAATTAATTTGCATTTTTCTACATGACTGAACGCTAATGCACTGCTCGCAGCTCAGCGGATTTAATACCAAATTTATTGTAAATCAAAAAGAATACAAACAACAACGACAACAACAATGGTATCAACGGCAACAGACAATAAAACATGTACCTGTAAAATACACCTGATTGCTGCATACACTTTAAGTTAAAATCAGTTGTGATAAACGATTTAAACTCCCACCACTAATTCAGTCATCGCCACACTCTAACACTCTCGCAAATTTTATAAATTGTGTCGTTTACTTTGATGGCCTTTGACGTCATAATAATAATAATAATAATAATAATAATAACAATAACAATAACAATAACAATTATAACGCTTAAATGGCGCATGTTTAGCCAAAAAAAAAAAAAAAAAGAAAAGACAAGAAAAAAATCAAAATTTATTTTGAAAATGTCTGTAATGTATTGAGACTATTAAAAAATTTCCATTAAAGTTTGCAATTAACCTTTTTCTTTAAATTTGAGAGTAGAGTTTAGAAGAGACGTTCTTTAAAGAGTTGAATCATTTTAAAATACTTTGAAAATTGTTACGCTTTTGAATGGAAATTTCTATGAATTTTTGATTTTGTCAAAAGTTTATCTTGATTCAATTATGCACGACAGACTGTCGCCTAGATACGTGTTTTGTATTTTGTATTATTGGTAAATTGAATCATCGTTTCTTGTAAAGGAAGAACAACACTATTCTCTATAGACTGATGTGTAATTTGCAAAAGTTTCTTAACAAAATGTTGGTTGGTTAGGTAGATGCAGTTAACTTAATTTCATTTGTGTACATACTTATGTCGTCTTGCGGGAATTAATCTCAAAATAGTTTTTATTTAAAGAATAAGGTAAATATCCTAATGGAACAATAATTGAAAAATTGAATTTTTAAAATTTGATCTTGACGTCCGTCCACCCCAGCTAAGCACACATTTGTTTCCTGCATAGATATATGAAAAAAAAAATATGAAAAAAAGCAAACCCAAAGTGATTGAATGAGACGCTCGGTTGGCAATAGAAACCTTAACAAAAATTTGCGGAGGCTATCCGTAAACTCGCGATTATACAAGCAAAAGAAAACCTTTACCTCATACCGATGGCCTAGGTAAGCATATTTGTGCTAACAATTTAAATCGATATCTATTAAGCTGAACAGTTTTTTTTTTTTTTTTTT